AGTCTCTGGTTGAAAAGTATATGGGTGAAAAGTATGTGCAAGAAGAGTTTCTGGGTGAAGAGTCCGTGGGTGAGAAGTCTCTGGGTGAAAAGTATGTGCAAGAAGAGTTTCTGGGTGAAGAGTCTCTGGGTGAAAAGTATATTGGTTAAAAGTATGTGCAAGACGAGTTTCTGGGTGAAGAGTCTCTGGGTGAAAAGTATATGGTTGAAAAGTATGTGCAAGAAGAGTCTCTGGGTGAAAAGTATATGGTTGAAATGTCTGTGCAAGAAGAGTTTCTGGGTGAAGAGTCTCTGGGTGAAGGGTATATGGGTGAAATGTCTGTGCAAGAAGAGTTTCTGGGTGAAGAGTCTCTGGGTGAAAAGTATATGGGTGAAAAGTATGTGCAAGAAGAGTTTCTGGGTGAAGAGTCTCTGGGTGAAAAGTATATGAGTGAAAAGTACGTGCAAGAAGAGTTCCTGATTGAAGAGTCTATGGGTGAAAATAAGCGGGTGAAAAGTATTTATAAGAAAAGTTTCTGGGTGAAGAGTCTCTGGGTCTGGGTGAAAAGTATATTGGTGAAAAGTGTGTGCAAGAAGAGTTTCTGGGTGAAAAGTCTGTGCAATAAGAGTTTCTGGGTGAGGAGTCTCTGGGTTAAAAGTATATGCGTGAAAAGTATGTGCAAGAAAGGTTTCTGGGTGAAGAGTCTCTGGGTGAAAAGTATATGTGTGAAAAGTATGTGCACGAAGAGTTTCTTGGTGAAGAGTCTATGGGTGAAAATTATATGGGTGAAAAGTATGTGCAAAAAGTGTTTCTGGGTGAAGAGTCTCTGGATGAAAAGTATATGGGTGAAAAACATGTGCAAGAAGAGTTTCTGGGTGAAAAGTCTGTGCAAGAAGAGTTTCTGTGTAAAAAGTATATGGGTGAAACATATGTGCAAGAAGAGTTTCTGGGTGAAGAGTCTGTGGGTGAAAAGTATATTGGTGAAAAGTATGTGCAAGAAGAGTTTCTGGGTGAAGAGTCTCTGGGTGAAAAGTATAGGGGTGTAAAGTATGTGCGAGAAGAGTTTCTGGGTGAAGAGTCCCTGGGTGAAAAGTATATGGGTGAAATGTCTGTGCAAGAAGAGTTTCTGGGTGAAGAGTCTCTGGGTGAAGAGTATATGGGTGAAATGTCTGTGCAAGAAGAGTTTGTGGGTGAAGAGTCTCTGGGTGAAAAGTATATGGGTGAAAAATATGTGCAAGAAGAGTATCTGGGTGAAGAGTCTATGGGTGAAAAGTATATTGGTGAAAAGTATGTGCAAGAAGAGTTTCTGGGTGAAAAGTATATGGGTGAAAAGTATGTGCAAGAAGAGTTTCTGGGTGAAGAGTCTCTGGGTGAAAAGTATATGGGTGAGAAGTATGTGCAATAAGAGTTTCTGGGTGAAGAGTCTCTGGGTGAAAAGTATATTGGTGAAAAGCATGTGCAAGAAGAGTATATGGGTGAAAAGTATGTGAAAGAAGAGTTTCTGGGTGAAGCGTCTCTGCGTGAAATGTATGTGCAAGAAGAGTTTCTGGGTGAAGAGTGTGTGGATGAAAAGTATATGTGTGAAAAGTATGCGCAAGAAGAGTTTCTGGGTGAAGAGTCTCTGGATGAAAAGGGTGAAAAGTATGTGCAAGATGAGTTTCTGGGTGAAGAATCTCTGGGTGAAAAGTATATGGGTGAAAAGTATGTGCAAGAAGAGTTTCTGGGTAAAGAGTCTCTGGGTGAAAAATCTATGCAAGAAGAGTTTCTGGGTGACGAGCCTCTGGGTGAAGAGTCTCTGGGTGAAAAGTATATGGGTGAAAAGTATGTGCAAGAAGAGTTTCTGGGTGAAAAGTATATGGGTGAAAAGTGAAAAATGGTGCAAAACTAAGAGTTTCTGGGTGAAGAGTCTCTGGGTAAAAAGTATATGGGTGAAAAGTATGTGCAAGAAGGTCTCTGGGTGAAAAGTATCAAGAAGGGTTTCTGGGTGAAGAGTCTCTGGGCGAAACGTATATGGGTGAAAAAAATGTGCAAGAAGAGTTTCTGGGCCAAGAGTCTCTGGGTGAAAAGTATGTGCAAGAAGAGTTTCTGGGTGAAGAGTCCCTGGGTGAAAAGTATATGGGTGAAACGTATGTGCAAGAAGAGTTTTTGGGTAAAGAGTGTCTGGGTGAAAAGTATATGGGTGAAAAGTATGTGCAAGAAGAGTCCCTGGGTGAAAAGTATATGGCTGAAAAGTATGTGCAAGAAGAGTCTCTGGGTGAAAAGTATGTGCAAGAAGGGTTTCTGGGTGAAGAGTCTCTGGGTGAAAAGTATATTGGTGAAAAGTATGTGCAAGAAGGGTTTCTGGGTGAAGAGTCTCTGGGTGAAAAGTATATGGGCGAAAAGTATGTGCAAGAAGAGTTTCTGGGTGAAGAGTCTCTGGGTGAAAAGTATATGGGTGAAAAGCATGTGCAAGAAGAGTTTGTGGGTGAAAAGTTAGGGCAAGAAGAGTTTCTGGGTGAAGAGTCTCTGGATGAAGAGGGTGAATAGTATGTGCAAGAAGAGTTTCTGGGTGAAGAGTCCCTGGGTGAAAAGAATATGGGTGAAAAGCATGTGCAAGAAGAGTTTCTGGGTGAAGAGTCCCTGGGTGAAAAGTATATGGGTGAAAAGTATGTGCAAGAAGAGTTTCTGGGTGAAGAGTCCCTGGGTGAAAAGAATATGGGTGAAAAGCATGTGCAAGAAGAGTTTCTGGTTGAAAAGTATGAGCAAGAAGGGTTTCTGGGTAAAGAATCTCTAGGTGAAAAGTATATGGGTGACAAGTATGTGCAAGGGTGAAAAGTATGTGCAAGAAGAGTTTCTGGGTGAAGAGTCTCTGGGTGAAAACTATATGGGTGAAAAGTATGTGCAAGAAGAGTTTCCGGGTAAAGAGTCTCTGGGTGAAAAATCAATGCAAGAAGAGTTTCTGGGTGAAGAGTCTCTGGGTGAAGAGTCTCTGGGTGAAAAGTATATGGGTGAAAAGTATGTGCAAGAAGAGTTTCTGGGTGATAAGTATATGGGTGAACAGTATGTCAGTATGTGCAAGAATGGTTTCTGGGTGAAGAGTCTGTGGGTGAAAAGTATATGGGTGGAAAGTATGTGTAATAAGAGTTTTTGGGTGAAGAGTCTCTGGCTGAAAAGTATATGGGTGAAAAGTATGTGCAAGAAGAGTTTCTGGGTGAAGAGTCTCTGGGTAAAAAGTATAGTATATGGGTGAAAAGTATGTGCAAGAAGAATCTCTGGGTGAAAAGTATATGGGTGAAAAGTATGTGCAAGAAGAGTTTCTGGGTGAAGAGTCTCTGGGTGAAAAGTATATGGGTGAAAAGTATGTGCAAGAAGAGTTTCTGGGTGACGAGTCTCTGGGTGAAAAGTATATGGGTGAAAAGTATGTGCAAGAAGAGTTTCTGGGTGAAAAGTCTGTGCAATAAGAGTGTCTGGGTGAAGAGTCTCTGGGTGAAAAGTATGTGCAAGAAGGGTTTCTGGGTGAAGAGTCTCTGGGTGAAAAATATTGGGGAACATAGGGATAGATGGGATGCTGGCTTTCGTTCCCCCTTCTCAGGTTCGTTTTCCTATAATCGGCAAGCAAAGATCACCCTTTGACATGAACTACCACATGTTTTCAATCCAAACATGACATGTTTAAGTGACCGGTTTGCTTGGTTCGTGTAGCATGGTTTGCCAGCATGGCTTGCTCCCTCGTGAACATGCCCGCGTTGATGCTTGTTGTAAGACCCTTACTTTGCTTGCTTGCGCTCGCCTTCCTTTTGAACGGTACATGCGTGCTTGTGGACAGTTTGCTGTTTCTAAAGTTGCCTATGGTTGGATCGCTCGCGCTCCCCCGTTGACTTTGTCTAAAAAGTTGTGGAGTTTGGTGCATGTTGGAAGTGGTCGCATTCGTGCTGCGTCGATCTGGTTGCGTGCTGCCTTGTTTGGCGGGGGCATGCATCTTGATGTGTTGTTTGCCACCCAACTTGCGTTTTTTTTTTCTCGCTTGCAAAGGGTCTCGTGCCTTGACTTGGTCTACTTGTCGCGGCTCTCCTGCCCATGCCTTTGATTCCTGGTTGGTTTCGCAATGTTTCGCATGGCTGGAACCGGACAGCTGGATGGAAGTGGACTCATTCTGATTCAGGTTGCTGTTTGGATCTTTCTTCCGCCGGTGACATCGGTCAGCGTCAGCATGTTGTTGGAGACGCTTGGCGTGCTTGGTGCTTGCGTCGTCACATGGCATCCGAGCGACGGGATGTTCAGCTTGACTGCTTGCATGATGCTGCTGGATGTTATTTTCGTAGGATAAACTGGCATGCTACTCGTAAGTTTGCCGTTTCCTGCGCGGAAGCAAGAACCTTGGTTTCTGGTGCCACTTTCTCTCCTGCTGCTCTTGGGGGTCGGATGCCTCATCGTCCTTCTACCATGTGCATTTGGGATGGTTGCACTGAACTTGGCACGTTTGATCATATTGCATGGGAGTGTGCTCGTCGCTCGAGGAACATACATACCTAAACCTGCCGAGTTTTTATCTTCTCGGTATGGTTGGGTCGTTACAAACAAAGATTGTGACGTTGATGCTGTGCATGGTTGGTTGGTTCATGTGCAAGAGACTCTTTGGTCCCTTGTCCATCCATGCTGTGCTTGTTTGTATGAGTTACCTTCCGATTTATTGGTCTTGCCCACTTGCACTCCCTTTGGGGTTGCCTTGCCTTCGTGGGCTTCCCCTCTGGGTTTGGCTTGGTTGGTTTGGGTCTTTGCCCCCTTGGTTTCTTTTTGCGGTGTTGGTCGGTCCTTCGCTGGGCTGTTTGCGCCTTTGGTGTGGTCTGGGCGCCTTGGCCTCCCGATGCCATGGAGTCGTTTGTTCCCGTTGGGCCTTTGCTCTCGGTGTTGATGGCGTGCTTCCGTTGTGGGCTGGTGCTGCTGCTGCTGCTGCTGTTGCTGCTGTGGATGCCCCCTCGCTCTGCGCTGTCTACTTGGGGGCAGTTCAGATCAAAGTTCACACCTTTTACACGTTTGCCAAGGTCTTTTGCCACAGTGCCATCGCCAGCGCCGAACAAGATCATGAGATCATGGTGCAGTCGATGGTGAACGAACAGGAACGCATTCGCCAAGCGTTTGCTGATCTGTTCCGTCTAATGGACAAGGCTGGCTGGATCAGTTTTTCATCAATAGTCAGTGGGATTTATCAGATTTGCCCAATTCATTTGTGCCATCCCCAATTTACTCATCTACCAGTTTGATCCCATTTTGAAGTTCTCAAGAACCATACTGCCATACTCCCCACCGCCAATACCCAACAAATTATGTTTGCGTTTGTTTTTTTCCCCACTATATTTATAGGAGTGGTATTTTCTCCAAACCCCAAAAGTGTGTTGTAACAAGAAAACATGTTATGCTGAAAACAGTGGTTCACCAGGAATTTTTTTCTTACCCAACAGGATGGCAGCGGCACCATCACCATCAAAGAATTTGAAAAAGGTTTCCACGTAGAAACTACGAAAGCACTTTTCGAAGCCCTTGGACTTAAAGCTGAAGACGCTTGGACACTCTTCAGGAGCTTGGACAAGGACGGGGGCCACAACAAGCACCACCATTTTCATGCCAATCCGGCCAGCAATTACAGATATATAAAAGAACCAGGGAGGGAATCTCTTGGCTGTTTTTGGCCTTTGTTCGTTCGTTGGTGTCTTTTGGAAATCGCCCTGTCGGACAGGACGGTGACCATCGGATTGGAGAGACGGAATTTGTGCACGGGTGCATTAACACTCGTGGTCCCGCTCGACAAGTAGATTTGCGAAGACAGGCCCAACAGAACAGGAGACTTGAGCAGAGGGATGTCGAGTTTTTTTTTTCAAGTGACAAGATCGAACTGGGAAAACATCATAGCATATCATAGCGCAAGGGATGGAACAACCTTCAAGAACGGTTTTTCCGGCACAGCAGCACAGCCAGCTTACATCACCACTTGAGCCTTGAGCCATTCCGTTTTCAGGACACAACTGGACAGCTTGGAAGGCGCTTGCTTTGAGTTCCTGGTGCTGCTCAAAGAAGTGGCACAGAAAATGGACATCGACCCTTCAGAGATCCTGGGAGCAATTCATTCCGCCCAATTGAGCACCCACAGCGACTGACTGAATTTGCTAGTTCTGCTGTGCTGTAGCAATTCGCAAGTGGCAGAAGAGCTTGAAGTCAAAGTAACTCCTCGACCTCCAAACGGAGCTTTCAGGATATTGCTGACTTTTTGCAGCTTTTTCAGACTCGAACAAAAAAGCATAAAAAAGCGAGGTGTTCTAAGATACTACAACTGGATATTTATCTACATAATGAGGATTAATGAGGTGTCATCAGTTTCTCCGTGAGAATGGGGATATACCGTGATATACTAATGATATCTAATGATATACTGTATATATAATTATGATAAAGTACTCCATATTTGCGGTGCTACCATATCCCAGCATCCAGGTCAGATCACGACGGGTGGTGCCACTGCCGCGCCCGAAGCCACAGCATCTGTCTTGTGCAAACATGGCGGTTTTAAGCCCAAGAACTGATCATTGTTTTAGGGGGATCGTGATGGTAAACCATGGATTTTTTGGTATATACCCTCTGGTAAATAAACATAGACCCTGGAAATCACCAATTTTTAATGGAAACTAGTCTTCCAACCCCTATCTGCCAGGGTCTATGTTAATTTACCAGAGGGTACCGGATTCTTGGACATTGGCCAGTGACTAAAACTGTAGACTCTCAGCTTGCAACATGTCCTGGACTGGGAATACATCTCAGGACACTGCAGAGTGCAGATGAACAAACCGCAGAGTCATGTGATATTCATTTGGGGGCCTTCCCAGAAAACGGTTTTATGCTTGGTGTACTATATATATATACTATTGCATAATAAATCTTGGTATATAAATCTTGGTATATAAATATTACCCAGTCATGTGATATTCATTTGGTTCGTTACGGATGATGGATGATGTCACTGTCATGACTATGTCAAGTGCAATGCATGGTTTTCGACCTTAATACAGCATGCACACTGCCTGAAGGCATATCTGCCTGAAGATATATCTACACGCTGCATGCATATTACAGATACAGATATGCAATGCAGCTTGAGGTCTGGAAGCCAACCGTCGCAATGGAGGTGCCAACAGGGGGATGCACGGTTATTCATATCTTCAGACTTGACACTCAACCATATTCACTGCTGTAACAGCCTGGTTCAATGGGAACCGTCACAAACCCCTCTGCTGCACACTTTCGGCATGCCATGGCCTGTTGGGACTAATTTTCCTGGTGCACAAACTGGTGAAAATTGATGGGATGAGTTTTTTTTGCACAGACCTCTGAGGTGGTGCATCACGAGGTGCCAGCCGCGCAAGGCACTAAGTGGAGTCAGAGCTGCCCCAGTCCTTGAATGAACACAGCATTGAAATGGAAAATGTATGAACATGGGTTGTTAGATCACTTGTACTCTGTGGTAAACGGACACAAACTTCGTGGAACAATGGGTGTTCTTTTTTGCGTCTTTGCCACTTTCCATTCTTTGTGATCAGCGAAACAACTAAAATGTGTGCCAAACCAAGCTCTAGTTTGACGGTTCCGTGTATACGTGCAGACCCTAATGCGCAACATGAACGTTTTAGATTGTAAATAGATGAAATTTGATGACATTAGTGTATCAATCATGCATTAAATATATCATATGTATATGTATAGTTATATAATTAATTATACATAATCATTATATACACATATATTTATATATAGTTATAACGATAGTTATTAAATATGTAACATACATACATACATACATACATACATACATACATACATACATACATACATACATACATACATACATACATACATACATACATACATACATACATTACATACAGACATACATACATACATACATACATACATACATACATACATACATACATACATACATACATACATACATACATACATACATACATACATACATACATACATATATATATATATATGCAGAAATATACACCAATGCAAAGATGTAGTGAACACACTCCAGGTTTGGCTTCTGCCAAAAAACAGAGGGTCAGGACACAGCATCGCCCTGAGGCTAGATCCGACATGAACTGCTTGCCAGATTTGGTGCCGTCCATGCAGGCAGGATCCATAGCATCCAAGGTTTGGATTTTTCTGTGCGGCCTGGCCAGGAGCCATTGCAGCATCCCTTGCCTGGATCTAAGCAGGAATTCTGGCACGTCAGAGCCGTGGGAAGTCCTGGGAATGTGGCGTTCATGTTTACAGATAGCGTGACTGGCGACACCATTTTGTGATGCTTTCTCTCGACTAAGATTGGGCTGTATCTGGTGATGACCCTGCAACGTTCAGTGGTAGTGAGCCCTGAGCTTCAGAATCTCGCTCGGATTCTTTGATGCTCTCTAAGATTGTTGTCAATGCCATCCAGATTAGTCACTTGTCTTCGGTTTGTAGATCTTTTTAGTCGCATTTACTCATTCCTTCTTCTTGTAACTTATCCATGTGAAGCTCAGTGGTAGATAGGAGGGCTGATGCTGACCGGCACCACGTGTCAACATCCGGCGCGACCTTGTGATGCAATCATCGCATCACCCGACTTTTTGTGGTTTCATGGTGCCACCATGTGGCACAATGTGCCACCATGGTTTGGAGGAACAATCTCGACCCTTCAAGCTGACTTTGCCCTGTCAAGGTGCCGATTGTGCCGATTCTCGTGGTCAATTTATTCATTCGTTCATGAGTTTAGATACGGCTTTTGGCAAGTCAGCTCTCGCTCATGAGAGCCAATTGGAAGCTGTTTGTGTGGGGCAAAACATCACCTTTTTTAACAGTGGGATATGACCATTGGCCGAAGATACGGCTCTCGCGCCTGATTTGAAGAGCTTTGATCAACTCAGTCGAAAGCTTCGAAGATGCTATCGGTAAAGAGGTGGGATCTGCCTGGATTCCTGAGGTCATCTAAGGTCCTACAGTGGACTGTACCAAGAGCTTACCAAATCAGGACGTCTCACCAGTCTCGCAACCAGGACTTTGGCACAGCAATGCTCAGTCGAGCAAAATCCAGTCAAAGTAGATGAGAAATTCGAGATTGACAGGAGTGAAAAATGTGATGGTAGATGATGGTAGTATATGACTCAGCAAAACTACAGTATGTATTATACATTAATTAATGTACATTAACAGCATGTGATGCTAATTTCTTTATGAACGCAGTGAGTATTTCGGAACTGTGCATTGCTGTTTTGGCCATAGATTCTTTGCCCGTCTCACGTTGTGATTTGAGCCCACTTCTGGACTCAAAGCGCAGGTGACAGCGGTGCCATACTGCAGGAAATGGTGCTACAATGAGTCTGGGTGATATCGACACCTATCACCTGATGCAATTTTTTCTAGGGATACCTGATTATACAGTACAAAATACAGCAATCATTCATAATTTGATATTATTCGTAATGTGGCATGTGAATATCCTAAGGTCCTAATATATATCCTGTACCGTTCTCGGCTCAAAACGGTCAGCCGTCCTGTGGGCGGAGCAACAGCCAGCATCTCCGATGAAACTGTTGAGTTTTGCCGTGGAGCTGCCTAACCCTTTGAGAGAACTTGGGTATAAAAATGGGCTCATGCAGCTTGAAGAAGAGATTCCAATGGATTCCAATGGATTCCAATGCATTTCCTGCTTTCTCAATATTTCACAGTTCTATGAAATATTATGACATCTACCTGAGTTACTGTGCTAGAGTTCAAAGGGTGCTTAAAGCATCTTCCAGCCTGAGTTTCGTTTCAATGCCCAACTGTTTCCCAGGTTTGCGATGGTGCTCGGAGAACTTGGGCAGCGGATCACCGCATCTTTTCGGCGCCTGAATCAGGCGCCGATTATTGCAGCTTGGGCAGTCGCGGCGTGAGGTCTCGTGATGTCTCGTGATATCCGCCCAATGGGTGGATTTGCATCAGTACTGGGTATCGCAAGATTCCAAAGATTTCCAAAGTGAACAGATGCGAATTAGATATCCACAGAATTCCACATATCTCCACAATTTGGAGGACGCAAAGAAGACATATCCAAACATGTCCATCTGCGAAACCACTGAGTTTTGCGGTCGCCCTGATTTTTAAAGGACACTTCTCCCTCTGAGCCAAGGATGATGACCTTCTGGATGAAGTGTTGAAGGAAATCGCTGCTGCCCTGCTCCATGCGGATGTCAATGTCCGTTATGTTTCGGAGCTCAGGACCGTGCCCAAAGGGTGTCCGAGGGCTCTGCTTGCAATGTCTTGTGCGTTGTGCCGCAGTATCACTATTCATATGCATGTGGCACGTTTCTTGCCAAGGGTGGCATGAGTGTGGGGCAAAGTGTATGGTTTTACTATGTTTTACTTCTTCTTTGACAACTTACACCCGAAGAAGTTGCGGAAACGTTGCAACGCATATTATGCTACTTGAGTACGAGGATTTCCACAAATTCCCGATTTTAAGTTGCAACCCCGGTGGACCAACTTTATCCAACATTGCTGGGGGGGTGGCTGGTTCATCCACAGCAGTTGCGTCTCTCTTGGAGCCTCTGAGCCAAAGGAGCAACGTGAAGAAGAGAGTGCTTCTTGAAAGTGATGCTAGTGGAGTCAACAAGCGAAAGTTGATCCAGAAGGCTCAGCTTAACATAGCTTAACAGCGCTGCACAATTTTTCTCTGATTGACCATGGCACGGCTTTGTCGAACAAAAATACACACCCCAGAATGTATTTTGCCGGAGACACGAGATTACGAACTGTAAATGTATGTACTGTATATATATAATTATACATACGTATATATATATATTATATATTATGTATATATTATAATATATATATACATATTATATCATTCTATGACATATATATATATATCCCATGAATAAAAAGTTGCATGACCTCCTCCAACCATGATCCTGCAGAGGCAGTTGTGGAGGAGCTGGTTCGGCTGGTGTCTACAGATCGCAAGCCCTACAAGCTCGAGACACTCTGCTAAAATGGGAGCATAACATTGTATAATATCTGTAATATATGGATTTTATGTGAATTAATGGTGATTTAATGCGATTTTATGGGTATAGAATGGGACAAGACTTGCGCGCACTACTGTTTACATACTGTATACGACCAAGAACAGTAGTGTTTATAGTTGGTGGTTTCAATCGCATTTCAACCATCGAAAAAGGATGACGATCACCACTTTCATATCGGGATGTGTGGCTCCAGCTCAGGAAAGGCAAGTGCAATATCATCATGTTCGTTGGCTTGCAGGGAAGTGGCAAAACCACCACTTGCACAAAGTATGCACACCACTACAATAGAAAAGGCGCCGACTGGGCTTCCTTGAGTGTCACTCTAACAGTCAAGCTTCCTCAAGTCCTTGCTACTGGTGCTCATAAAGATCATCGAGTCGATATATATATATACACATATATATATATATATCGATATATATATATATCGATATATAAACTAGTATAAACTGGTACTGGAAACTGGTACTGCTGTAGATGTGGTACTGATTGGTATTGACCATTCCCGGCTTCCAGGCTGGAAGACGGCCCTAGTTTGTGCGGACACCTTCCGAGCTGGTGCTTTTGATCAGCTGAAGCAAAACGCCTCTAAGGCGGAATCGAGTCAGACTGCAGTAACCAGAGATCGAAACCAGTCGAAACCCTTGATGGTAATTATGGAACCATATAGAACCATTATTATAAGGTAATATGATATGGTAATAGTGGTAATAGTGGCAATAATGGTAATTATCATTATTTGGCGGGATGAACACCAGCGTCGTACTATCTATTGATATTTTGATGTTCACCAAGGTATCAAAGTTTGGCTATGGTTTTGACCCATAGAAAAATACGACTAGATGATGTGACCGACAAGATGATGACAACATGATGACAAGATGATCCGAGGTTTAAGCCAGCACATAGGACATGGTTCTTCTCTTGACATGTAGAGATAGCCTTGAGTTGTTATCTAGCCTTCTGTTGCCTTCGGATGCCTTGGGATGTTGCCAGTGGACTGGTCAAGGTGAGAATACCTTTCTATGGCGACTACAATGAGACGGATCCAGTGAAGATTGCGGAGGAAGGCTGGCAACCTTAGGCGGAAGGGAAGCAGAGACCCAACCCAACAGGGTCGCCCCACACTGGCAGGTGTGGAACTTTTCAAGAAGGAAAAGTATGACCTGATCATTGTGGACACGTCAGGTCGACACAAGCACCTCGGCAAGAATAGAGAGCGCTCTTGAAACCAACAGAAACAGGTCATTTCACAGGATATTTCATGATATTTCACAGGTCTTAGTTTCAGCCCAGCAGTCCAGTGATGAACCCCCCAGGCAGGAAGCAGCTCTTTTTGATGAGATGCAGCAAGTAGCAGAGGTGCGCCCTGCACTGAAGCCTGACGGCCACGGGATGGAGGATTTGGGGATCGCCTATTTTCAAAGCCACACAAAGCCACGGAACATCAACATCAAATAGATTCAAATAGCATAATATAGATATAAACATATATAAAAAATTAGAATATAAATATCAGAATGTGTTCTACAGTTTGATCGGTATGTGCACACCCTCATTTTTGCCCAATAGGCGTACAAACACCTTCGCATGCGCACGTGGATACGCATTCATGAGAGTTTTTTGCATCCCATGAGGAGAAAGCAGTCACATTCCGCTACCATTCCGTTTATTCCTGCTGGGGGTGACCATGTGAGAGATGGTTGGCGTGCAATGTCACGCATGAGTTTGTGGTATGTGAGAATTCAACAACGGAATTTGGTGAACTGATGAAAGGTACAGACCACAAACATCGCAGAGCATAACCTTTGAAATCCCCTTGGACTCTAAGCACCCCCGGTCTCTACAGTATCATGATTTCAATGATATGTGTATGTACATATATACACAACAAATGTATATACACCAATCTTCAATACCATGTAGTTTGAATTTGGCTGAACATTGCTGCAATTTAAGCTATATACATGAATCCAGCAATGATTAGAATGCTGTCCAGCAATGGAGTTTGAGGTGGTGGCACCGAACGACATCATTTTTATCATGGACTCTCACATTGGTCTGGACCCAAGTCTCGCCTAGGCCAAGGCTCGCGGATACCGACACTGGTAAGGGGCGATGCTAATTTATGAATCCAATTCCGAGATGTGATGACGATGATGACGATGACGATGACGATGATGATGATGATGATGATGATGAAAAGTGGTGGTGGTGGTGGTGATGATGATGATGGTGGTGGTGGTGGTGATGATGATGATGATGCTCATGCTGATGATGCTGCTGCTGGTGGTGATGATGGTGGTGGTCCTCATTATGATCATTATGATCATGATGAGGTGCGAATGATGTGAGATGAATACTACAGAAATGGAATCGACTGTATTCAGATTGGGCAATGACGCAACTTGTCACTCGTCACAAGACTCGGGACCAGGTATGGCTGGTGCAATTCAAATTCAGGGCATGGATGCGTGTTGGACCGATCAATCCGCACAAGTTGTTTTTGGGTGGCGGGAGCAGAAACCGCTGTTTTTTGCAGCAAACGTCAAATCTGACTTCATGTGAATGTGGAGTCCTGTCCCTGGACAAAATGGCCCCAAAACGCCCAGCTGGTCATATAAATATTATTAACGGTGAGAGTTTTACCACACTTTTGCCTTGAGTTTTGACGGGCTGAACGGCCGAAGTGGTTTTCGTAAATCACCAGGTGCATCACAGTAAAAACCCCCGTGATTGAATGTTCCGTGATGATAGATCCCCCTCGTGAATCCTGTGGCTGTGAAACGCCCTGAGGTCAAGCTTGTTTTGATCAAGCAAAGGCCTTTAGAGAGGTGGTCGACATTGGTAGTGTGCCCTCCTCAGCAAATCCAGTTAGTTTCCTTCGCTGGGACATGCAGGGATGTACCTCAAAATTCAGAATTTGATGTCTTATCCCCAACTGTCACGAGATGGTAACGAGCTTTAGAAACTGCACAAAGTTGATAGGCCAAAAGTGGTCCAGATGCCATCTCCTTTGCGACGATTTTTGTCGATCACTGGTTTGTCAGATCATCCGCATCATCCCTAAAGAGTAGGATGGGTATACTGAGTGTACCCTATACCGCCAATATACGGTAATCAAACATGGCAATTGGAAATTCCCAATAATAGAAATAATAGAAGTTTTAGATGGGTCTTAGTGGGAGAAGCATCGAACTAAATGAGGGATTCTCCAGAACGCCATGTTGCCCCACTGCACTTGGCTCTGCAGGTGATCATCACCAAGTTAGATGGGCACGCAAAGGGTGGTGGTGCGCTTTCGGCGGTCTCTGCCACGTAGGGACACCAAGTTGCTGGGGAATTCACCGTTGATCTCGATGGTTTTCTGCCTAAAACCTCCAAATATGATCAAATATGTGTATATATAATATATAATATATTTTTATAGGAGATTCCCATAGATGCCATAGATTGCCCATTGCCATGTTTGTGTCCCCTAAGAAGGGTCTAGGTTATCATGTTTGTGTCCCCTAAGAAGGGTCTAGGTTATCCGATTTATAAATATTTATAACTGGAGTAGTATAACCACAATGAAACCCACATTTCGCAGCTGAGCAGCTAAGATTCAGCATTTCGCACTAGCCTAAGCAGTTTTGTTGCGACAAATCTGAGGAACTCGCCGATCATTTTCCTGGGAACGGGCGAGCATTTTGATGAGTTTCTTGGCGGGTTGGCATCGCCTGTGGAAACACCGCCCAGATTTTGACGGCTCAAAGACGACAATGGAAAACACTCCTATTCTGCTCGTAACTCTGATTACTTTTTTGGTTTCTGTCAGGTAACTGCCATTGTCAATATATTATGTGATATCTCATGTGGTTCTTTGTTTAGAACCATCCATTATCATCAATAATTATTGGGGTTTCCTGAAATGGTTGAAATGGGAGTACCCCCAAATCATCCATTTTAAATCATTTTTGGGGGTTTCCTGAAATGGGGGTACCCCCAAATCATCCATTTTGATAGGATTTTTCCTCATAAACCAAACATTTTGGAAGTTCTACTTGACCAATGGATGCAACTGCCTCGCCAGGTTCCAACCCTTCGATGCTCAGAGCTTCGTCTCGCGACTCCTGGGCAACTCGTTGGTGAACGTGCCCTGAACATTTGGGTCAAAGAGGAACTGTTGACCATGAAAACATGATATATACTACATATACATATATATATATACATATATACATATATATATATACATACATATATACACACACACATATATATATATATGTATGACAATAATAATAGATATACATTATATATAAATATATGCTACATATTTGTTTATATTTATTGTGGAATCTATGGTAATTACTTAGTTGGTGCAATGTGTACGGATATGAATATGGTCAATACTTATCATTGCAGTTGGAAAGTTCTTTGTGAGCCGGCTGGCCATATTTGGCAAAGTTTGTTGCTTTCCTGAACATCTTAAATCTGTGCATTTCCGAAATGCTTTGGTCGGGCAGCTTTGGTGAGTCATCAACTAGAGTTTTTACAAAAACTGACATTTGCAGGTCATCGGGAAATTAAATGATTTAAACACCCCCAAAAAATAGGGGTTTTGCAATTTTTGGACATTGGATGGCTGGATTGAAGCGCAGCTTGAGGCATGGGTGACCTTAAGGGTCTCTTCCAGACCATCACAGAGGCACATTTGATGCTACCATGGCATATCATGGCATTATATAGAATTTCACCCAACCTTTCATATAGTGATGATATATATGTATATATATAGTATAGTGATGATATATTCCCTAGTTTATTTCATGTAGAAAACCATTTCATTAGGTTATCATCATCTTCCCTTCCGGAGAGATTTTTTGGTTGGCGGTTTGACAAATGGATGCGTTTGAAGGCCATGCCTTTGGACAAGCAACCTGAACTGCTCAACAAGATCTCCAAGGGAAGGCAGGTCGCGATGAAAAAACAAGATCTCCAAGGTACCTGAAAAACATTGAAAAACATGGTTTCAGCTGTTTAGAGCAGGATGTAACATAATTATAATAGTAATGGATATCAGCAAGATATCAGTGGATGTTCATCCGATAGGTTTAGATCATTTTGATTCATCCCCGTGTGGCAGCCTGCCGATGTCAAGAGTTGACTGCAGACATGCTGAGGATACGATGGTTACAATGTGCTGACATTGGGTAGATTTTTTTTATTTCGTGCTAGGAATGCACCATATTTATTTTAACCGTAGCTGCAGCTTTGGAGATTGTGGGTGTTCAGAACCGAACAACAATGGAATATTATGGAATCCATTGGAATATTATGGAATATTGTGGAATATTATGGATTCCAATGTATGGAATATCCATTGGAATCCATTGGAATCCTGTTCGGATCCCAAGAACCGTCATGTCTCCGTGGCAGGTTCTCCCTTCGTGACTTGTACGAGCAGTCCGGTTCTGAGATCTCGTGGGCAAAGGATGTCCATGAAGTCATTGTAGAGGAAGTGGTTTAAATATCCTCTGGTAAACGTTTACATAACTATGGGAAATCACCATTTTTGATGGGATAATCAACTATAAACGACCAGTTTCAATAGCTATGTTAAATTACGAGAGGGTAAACTTCGTGGAAGTGAGCCAAGCGAGGTTCCAGAACTTGCAAAAGTCCGGGCGCCCAGTGGCATCAATGGCAATGCGTGATGGTGAGCCACAATATTCTGATGAAATATGAAAAAATATGATCAAGTATGATGAAGTATGATTCAAAAGTCTGGATGAAGGGTTTTCTACCTCCTCAATGGTATGTGCCTGTCTCAACCCTCCTCCCTGTATCAAAGATTATCAAAGGTGCTTTCTTTTTCCCCTCCTCAAAGGTCCTGGTTTCCCAGCCGTATTCCTCGAAAACTTTCCCATATTCGAAGGATTTCTCATGGCCAAGTGTTTTCCCACAGTGAAGGCTCGCGCTCAAGGCTGCAAAATAGATAAATAAATAAAATCCCGGAGACAAACCCATACCCCGGGGAAGAACACTTGCGACCGAACATTGCAAATATGCATACAACATGCTATGTGTTTTTCTCAATGGTATGTGCCCGTCTAATAATTTTTTTATTTATTTTTTCCTCCCCGGAGGTCCCGGAGAGGAACCCTTGGAATTTCTTCCCCTGGAGGTCCCGGAGAGGAACCCTTGGAATTTCTTTCCCCGGAGGTCCCGTAGAGGAACCCTTGAAACCCTTTTGCTCGTTTTTTTCTCTTCGTCGTCTTTCGTCGTCCGTCGTGTTTCAATGGGGATCCTTGAGACAGACACTTGACCTGAGCAAGACCACAAACGAGAAAGTACCTTGGCGCAGACCTTCGAATGATGAACTACTTGTGTACAGTATCTAATCTATATAATGATCACATGTGTGCGTTCCACCAGAGTCTTGGGTAAGATCTTCTGACCTTTGGCACGCCTGCCCCTTGTTCCTCGCCTACCTAAGGATGGGACCCATGAGTCAACTGATGCAGATGATTCCGGGGATGTCCAACTTGATGCCGGCAGGTGGGATATGGTGCCCACATGTGCCCACTATGTACCGCTGGGATCCGCTGGGTCGTTGTTTTTTTGGCGGACAGGTGCAGAAAAGGAGGGCGTCAAGAGAATCAAGCGGTTTATGGCCCGGTACTTGGGATCGAGTCGGCTTCCAGTGATTCGTGGACAAAGTGCTGAGTCTACTGCCAGCATTGATCAGCTGAGGTCATCATGGACAGCATGCCGGGTGCACAGAAAACTCATGTTTTTCATTGTTTCTAATAAAAGCGGGGCTTGTTTTGCAGGTGTACCCAAGTAGCACGGTGATGATACTGTATTGTCATGTATTGTCTCAAAACATCTCAAAACAAATTCCATTTTGGCAGCATGATTTTCAGTCACTATTGTCGGCTTCGGATGAATCTTCAGCAATTTGATGCATGCAAGCAGTTCGAGTTATCTACATCTGCCATTTTGTTTGATGCCTTCAAGGACGGATACAGAGCTTGACTGCGAAGTGCAGCTGACTCTTGCTTGGAGAAGATGGGTTGTTTTGATTGGAAAAACATGTGCAGCAAGAGAAACCAGTCAAGCCCCAAATGTTTCTTGGCAAACTCGATGCAGTGATATAGAATAGATCCGCCACGATCCAACAAAGATGTGCCATTTTCCCTGCTCCTATGGTTTTAGCCGAGGAATGATTCGCGAAAGTTGCGAATAGCCAGAGGGGCCGGTGCCTCCATACCTGAGGTGCCAATGTACCGATTACGGTTGTTGCTGACGACAGGGACCGGGACCACCGCGGAGAATACTCTGCAGGTGAACCTGCTCATCGATGAGTACAAACGAATGGAGAAGATGGTGGGCAAGATGGGCAAGAGCGGACTCTTTGGAAAGGGCAAAGCTGGCTTGAGTTTCGCTATCACTCGAGCTGACTGTAGCTTCGGTGGCGCGTTGTAAATGCTGAATTTCACAGCATTGGTTGGCAGTGCAAGCATGCAATCATCGCGTATGACTTTCAGACTTTCATGACGTGATAATTACATTCGACCTTCATCCAGTGTCCACACGCTATTGATGGAAGTAATGCAACAAATGCATACTGTACAAATGCTCCATCCAGTGTTGCAGCAGATTATCAAATTTTGACAGGATAGTGTTCCAGAACATGTGTGTTTGTGTGTCTCTGTCTCTGTGTCTCTGTGTCTGTGTGCGTGTGTCTGGGTTTCGCTCACAGTTTTCAGATTTGAATCTCAAAAATCTCAATCTGTTTGTGTGCATTTTCCATCCTGATTTGGGAGAGAGACCAGTTGACGGACATGGGTTGGACCGACTAAGCCATCCGTTCCTTGATCCCTCAAGACAGCAACGCGACAGGTGGTGAGCTTACCCAGCTCAGCAGAAACCCTGGACAGGTGCAACTGTATAACCAATGCAGGAGTATCCAGCAAACAACATCTATATAATGATTTCCAGAATTGGTTGAACCATCTATGTTGTTGTTGTTGTTGTGGTTGTTGTTGTTGTGGTTGTGGTTGTTGTTGTTGTTGTGGTTGTTGTTGTTGTTGTTGTGGTTGTTGTGGTTGTTGTTGTTGTGGTTGTTGTTGTTGTTGTGGTAGTGGTTGTTGTTGTTGTTGTTCTTGTTGTTGTTGTTGCTGCTGCTGCTGCTGCTGCTGTCGAAGAAACACATACGGGAAACTCATAATATGTGGATGTAAAACAAAACATGTCCCATGCATTGTTTCTTAAACCATCTTACCATCCAGTGTTTAAATCCTTGCAGGTGATGCAGAAAATGTCAATGGCCTCAGTCATTTTGTCGGATGAGGTATGCCACAATGTGGGCAACCCAATGCCATAAACCTGCTATATAATTTATAGCACCCATGAACATCATGATTCTTGGGGATGGTTTACTGGTTTGCTATGGGGTTTAGTCCATTACTGCTAGTATACCAGTATACCATAGGAAAGTCATGTGTCCAATTAATCCAGCTGAGGCAGAGTGCCATGGATCCCCGCATGCTGCAGCAGATGGGCGGCGCACAGAACATGTCATCTTCGCCATGCTTTGGCATTGTATGGCTGGGTATGGCTGGGTATGGCTGGGTATGGCTGGGTGCTGGTCATTCAGAATTGAAATCCCTAGGGAGGAGTGAGGAGTTGTCGTGCAACACATCATCATGGGGGTAACCTTGCTGTGGACAGAATGCACATGTGCTCAAAGGTCTGAAATATCTGAAATATTCAATTTAATATGATTGTCCGTTATAAATCATGCATTTTGAGGTACCTTGATTTATGGACCCCCCCCAAATATCCATGGTGCTGGTTTGTTACACTGTCTGTAGATTCCTTTTCGCCAGGATGAAGATGATGAAGGCTGCAGCCTTACTGCTAGCCTGCAGCCCACAAGGGTTTGAATCTAAAACATCCCACGTTTTCCCGCGTCAGGAGTTTGGCAAGATGGAAAACATGGGTGGAATGATGGAAGGATTGGGAGGTATCGACCCTGCCCAGGCGGGGGGATAGTCTAATCGTGGAATCCTGGAGGCTCATGACATCATAATGGCCGAACAGGGGGGACGTTTCTTTGAAACAATTTTTTGGAATTGCAATGAGAACTATATAAAGAGAATCAAACAGATCGTGGATGATGGCAAGTGATGGGTCGGGTGCTGGCACAGATTCATAGAATTTCACTGCTTTGAAACAGACTGTCCTGCTACGATTTTGCGCAGGTCGCAAGCATGCAGAAGATGATGGGTGGCAAGATGAAAGGCAGAAGATGAGCTTTGGAGCGGTCCTGACCGAGACGCATAGGACACGCCATTGGCCTGAACCTCTTCTGTTCGCTTATTACTGTCATGGGAAATGGTTGGTTGATGTTGGTTAATTGTTCATGCTGGTAACGAATTGAATCCAGTACATATGTTGTTAAATATAGTGTGTGAATGTTTGAAAATACACCAGGCAGATTTAGTTGTAACACATCTTTTGGGAAAGGCTTTGTGTGCAGTTTGTCCTAGTGACTCGGACAAACCGCCGAGGAAAGTCTCACCCGCAGTTGTAGTTGCCATGACGTTGCGATTTTCAGCTGCAAAAATGGCCTTCCGCGGTTCAGACTCACCACCAGAAGCTACAACTGTCACGGGGTCTGCCATGCTAACCACAAGACTCCCCAGCCCCCAGCAGTCTTCGCCTCAGAGTGGAATGATTGGCCATTATATCATATTATATCCATTTGCTTTTCGGCCCAGTTGAGTCAGTCCAGAGAGAGGCTGGTGGCTGGTAGTACGACACGGCCAGAAAGGCGCAAAAACCCTCGTCAAAACTGCTCCTTGATCGGACCTCAGTCCTTGGATGCTGTGGTGCTGAGTTTGAGGATGTAATTAATAGATATATTAATAGGTATTAATAGGTAGAATACGGAAAACAATTAGCACATATTAACAAATTAACATTCATCAACCATAGAATCATCTTTCGGCACATCTGGTGCAATTTTGCCTTGAGGCGGTTGCTCCGTTTTGAAGGACCTTCCCACGAGACCAGCGCAGATGGCGAGCGCTGGGTATGGCGGCGGTGTCGTGGCCCCGAGCCTAGCTGCAGTGGTTTGAGCCGAAAAGCAGGTTGTCTGTTGGGAGTTCGCATTTTTATGGATTTTTATGCATTTTTGATATTTGGAATTCCGAAAACTATATACCAGGTTTTCTTGGTCCAAATTCTAGATTTGGACATATTTGGACATATCTGGACCTAAGAGATCCAAAATAGAGCTGCTACAACTACTGCCGATGTCCTGAGGCCTGCGTGCCTCAGCATGACTCTCTTCCGCTGGAAGGATCTGAAGTTTTTGATGTAGCACCATTGAAAACAACAGCAGTGACATTACACATATTATATGTTATCTAAGTTCAAGATAGGTGCTTGATATCCAGCTATAAGATAGGTACGCTACGCTTGGTGCGCTTGGTACGCTTGGTACGCTTTGGGTAGGTACGCTTGGTACGCTTAGTAAAGTACGTTTGGTACGCTTACCAACCGTACCGACCGTACCGACCGTACCAGTGAACCGTACATAACCGTACCACCGTACCGTACCAGATTAAGGGGGGGGGTCAAGGTGGGGGCGTTTTGGATGTACCAATACCCCCCCCTTGACCCCCCCCTTAATCTGGTACGGTACGGTGGTACGGTTATGTACGGTTCACTGGTACGGTCGGTACGGTTGGTAAGCGTACCAAACGTACCTTACTAAGCGTACCAACCGTACCAACCGTACCGTACCACATGTACCAACCGTACCGTACCAAGAAAACCAAACCTACCAGCCGTACGTACCAGACATGTTTGGATCTTACTTAAGGCCTCTACCACCTATCTTGAACCTAGCTGTCACATATTACACGTTTTTCCAACTACTTGTGATTTGGGAAGCTGCTCTGCTGAACTGTTTTTTTGTGTTTGACCAACGCCGTTGTGGCGTGGTACGAGGAGGTTGTGGCAAGCATGCAGAACTTCTTCCGGTGAGCAGCTGAACTGTCCATTTGCGCATCAGAGGAAGATCATATAGTGGTATGATGACAGGCCACAACAACAGATATCGATTGAAACCCAACAACATGGTACTACACAGAAAATGAATATGTTCACCAAAAGACACAAGAATGATACCTTATTGAAGAAGTGTCCTGCACGCAATATGAGCATTCTGAGCAAGGCATCAGTCAAGGTTCAAGGTGTGCATCGACTTCCCCATCATCATCCTTTATCATCATAATAGATGATTGTAATGCTCAATCATAATCCAAAGAATCCATGATAATCCATAACAATCCAAATAATATCATATTATAAGATCAAATAACCATCTGTGATCATCGATAATCCCATAATCGCATCATCCCGTAATCCTTCTTCACCCAGAATTGGTCAAGGGCAAAATCGAAACTGGAATCCCTATATGATATTTGGCGCTAAAGACGCCCTGGTCTCTGGCGAAGATTTTCCCATCTAAAATCAATTAAAATCACTCCACTAAATAGATCTAAATAGTCAGATTGTTAGTCAGATTATTAGTCAGATCCCATTTTTGATGGTTATCCAATCAATCCACATCCTAGGTGATCAAAACAATGGATCAATCCACTCATTGGATGTTCTATAGCGGCTAGCGAGATCCCATTAATATCCTCTATAAATCCCCATAAAATCACCTGACATCCAGGGTTTTCATCAGTTTTTCATTGGTTTATCTCTCACAAAATAGCAAAATGCACCTATAAATCTCCAGAAAACATCATAAAATAGCCATATCACCCTATAAATCCCATCAATCCCTATAAAATCTCCATAGAATCACCACCGGAGGCTCGTACCAAGATGTCCTCCTTTGGGGACGACGAAGAGCTGGCAGAGGAGTTGCCGCCCAACCGGACCCTGCAGCGGCTTCATGGCTTCCATTGATTCCATTCCCTGGATCGATGAATATGCTATGCTAATGCTATGCTAATGGTGAATTTCATATCAGTTCCATGATCATAATTGATGTATGAATTTTCATGGATTCATTTATGGAGAATGGATTCATTTATGGTGAATTGATGTAATTGATGTATGAATCTTCATGGATGCGTTGAATCTCATTGATGTAGACTGTATCATTTGGATGCTTCCTGATATGTATTTTGAATATTTTTGAATCATCTGCAAATCGTTAGGGTCGATGGTTCCAGGATTCTGAAATTTGAGTCCACGCAGATCCAGATCAGGGTCTCTTTTTGTTGGTGGTGAAGTCACAAGGGAAGCGGCTCCTCTTTAAGCCTACCTCAGCTGGAGGTTTCAAGAGGATGCCAAAAGCATTCTGAAGGAGTGCCCTCAGCGAAGGATTTCGCAACTCGTAAAGTTTGACAATGACATCTACTTGCAAGGAAGTTTTTCTCTCTATCCCTACGTGCAAACTACCACAGTTTTTGACCCTGCTGGTTCTTTTCCCCTCGAAAATACAACTCAATTCAGGTCCATTTTGAATGATGTCGGTGTAACCTTGGAACTCGCAGCAGCATTACATAAGGGTTCCTTTTTTTCCAGGTACTTTGTCTCCTTAGCGCTTGACGATACTGTGGTCTCAGTCATGAGCTCAACAGATGGATCACGCAGCTGATTCAACTTTTTTTACACAGATCACACAGTTCCTGAAGCTGTTCCCCCATAGATTCAAAGAAATGACGTGGCAAATCATGGTAAATCACTGTGGTGAGGTCCAAGAACTGCTCGCCTCCTGCCCATCGGAGGTGAATCACTCTGCTGAAAAATGGGAGGAGATTTTGGATTAAGAGAAAATCCAATGAGGTTCATGTGTTTTCTATCATGGTCTATCATTTTTTAATTAATGATTGATGGGATGAATTTATGAATGTCATGAACCTGAACATGTGTGATCTGCTTGACAAAAAGATGATTATCATTGATGATCGTCTTCCAGTCACACAGCTTCATTGAAACCAGCCTCTCGAGGCGGACGAGCTTGGCGTTGTGGCAATGAAGATTGCAGTTGATCGAGAGAAGGACCTGTGGGACCAGAAAGCATCGAGTTTCAGAGAAAGTCCGTCTGAAATGGTCCGTTTTATCTGTTTTCTTTTTTTCCTCAGCAAAGTTGATGTGGGTGTGTCTGAAAATAGTGTACCCCTAAACCCAATGGTTAATGATCATTATCCCTATTAAATGGCTATAATTGGGAATATACCCTATTTTCAGACAAACCCATGTACATTCTGAAGAGAAGAACCTTTGGCCATCGCCCTTGGTGTGGCATGACAAGCCATGGACTTTACATCCTCAGTGGATGGTGATTGGTCCAGGCGATTCCTCTGCCAGCATCCGGCGGCGTCCTGCCACTAGGACACTTCACGGGCGGTCGTCACTCTCTTTGACGCCCTGAGTAGGCCTGTGGCCTTCTGTGGCCTTGTGCGTTTGCCTACGTGTGTCACAAGTTGACAGTGCTAGTGTGTTGATATTCAGTTGGAGTGAGTTGCAAATCGAACAAGTTAGGTTCAATTATGTTCACAAGGAAATTGAATCATCGTCATTCCTATTGAGCACCTCAATGAGGATTGACAAGGGCCATGTGAGCACACTAGGTCCAACGTCCTTGATCGCTCAGCGCTGATTCGTAGCTTTGAGAAGATCTTCTGCACTTTGGAGGAGCCACTGTGATATCAATGGACATTATTGATGTATATCTTAATATCCTTAATATGGTGATATATCCCTTATATATTGGCGGATGGTTATGGTATGTTATGGTGATGGATACTGTAGCAATGGGTATATTGACAGAGATTGAACCACCAAAGGGAATATTTTTCCAGCAATAGATGGGGACCAAGAAATTAGGCAAAAACCGTAATATTTTCGCTGGTTGGTGGTTTCAGATATTTAATCTGCTTTCCATCCTGCCTGTGCTCATAATCCCAATTCATTGATATCTTTCAGGGAGGTTGAAGACACCAACCAAATGTTGCTTGACTTAGTCGTGGCCAATTTGTGCCTCTTGTACTCAGACCTAGCTGTAGTTGTTTTGCTTCACAGGGCAGGCACTCTGCTGACAGGTAGGACACGATGGAGATTCAACGAGGCGCTTTTCACAGGTCCATAGAGTCAATCTCATAATCTTTGAGTGTATAAATCATATATAGGGATTATGAGATTATACATGATAAATACTTATATCCCCTATAGTACTTATAATCTTATCATATCTAGGATATACTGATAAGTACTGATATTTTCATGACATCCTGGTGGCACGGAATAGCACGGGATGATGTGAGGACCTCAAGATTGATTGTCCTCATGCCGAGAAGGGTGTCCTTGAGATCATACAAGGATGCATGGAAGTTTCTTGGCAAAACCAAGGGGGGGTGAAACGGCTATGCCAGAAATTACGATCCTAGTATTATAGGGCGCTTTTACATACTTTTACCTTTCGCATCCTTCACATTGAGCCGACTCTTGTTGTGTTGGCTGGTGAAAAGTATTGGTGGGTCTTCTCATTTTGTTATATTTCTTGGCATATTGGAAGCATTCGCACGCCATCGGAATCCATTATTATCAAGCAGTTTATTTGAAAGACAGACGTCGGACCCACTTCAATGAAAGTGTTTGACCAAGGCCGGCTGCGTCGAAACAAAGCTTCTGACAAAGCTGCCGGCAGCACCGACCAAGTTACGCAACTGTGAAGACCGTGAAGCTTTTCAGTTCAATGGCATCAGCATTGGTCTATTTGGTTTGTTCAAATCTCCACGCAGAATGATAGGCCCATGCATCCCATGCCATTTTGCAACGGCTTTCATAATGTTTCATCATGTTTCATCTGAATTGGACTTTTTTGTGGCTAAGCCGTGGCCTGAAGTCACCGTGACTTGGCTCCTTTTGAATAAGTGTTGATGTGCCCGATTTTTTCTGTGCCAGGAGACCTTACTTCGTGCTGGTGTTCAAGATCAGGCACCGAGTGGAGGGTGGTCCATTTTTTTTAAATGTACATTCTGACTGGCATAATTAGTGACATGTTTGGGTACACAAGCAGATGTTCTATGCAGTTAAGAAAACAGTGAAACACGCGACCTCATGTTAGACAGAAAACTTTGAACCATGGATTACAAAACAATTGTATAGATGCACGGAAAGGATGAAATTATCTGAAGTTATGAAACGTGTGCCACGGTGTGCCGCTTCTGAGTCTGCTCAAGCACTGACCTCTGAGTGTCCCGGAGCGAAGTGCGTTCCGTGACTTGTTCCTGGAGCAAAGAGCTCAGCAAGAGCTCAGCTGGTACTGAGGTCCCTGATGTTGCTTTTTTTTTTTGGCACGATTGGTGCAACTGCTACCACACTTACGTACATTCAACAGCTGAATGCAGTCTTTGCAAAGCCGTCATATGAAATCTATGCATTAACAATGTCGTGGCCAACAGGGCCGATGCCTGAGGAGATGATGGCCCCGCTTGCAGCTGGAGCAGTGTCAGGCACAGTGTAACAGCTTGACACTCAAAGATAGGTGTGCCATGTCTTGGGGCCCCTGGAGGTACAGCAAAGCAAAGCTTGCCGGAAGGCGCCCCTTCATGGTGACTCCTATAATTGGGTCCCAACGCAATAGTGGGATAGGTCGGATAGGTCGATACCTAGATTCATACACCTACTGTGGTGGACCATCTGAATGGCTGGTTGATATCTGTTGATTGCGGACTTTACCCAGGACCCTGGCCCAGTTGATAGACCATGAGATCTCATGAGTCAGTATTCGTGACTACAAAAAGTAGATAAGATGATTAACTGATTACCATGCCTACTAAACATCACTAAACAATCATCGGAAGCAGATGGGGGTTCTCACCACCCCATGTGCAGACCATCGTTGCCAGGCATGGCCCCTGTCACCCGGCCTACGAAGCTCTTCATTGGAGGCTATAGCTTTACTACTAGATCTGATGAGCTTCACCAAGCGTTTTAACTACTATGACTCTGACCCAGAAGTTGGGAGCCCTTATCATCCTTATCAACCAAGCTTTTTAAACAAGTTCACAGTTGGTGCCAAATTCAGGACCTCATGCCTCATGATCCCTATAGACTGGTCAATTTTCATCATTTTTCCATTGCAACCATCCAAAGTCGTGGGCTTCCGTGGTTGGTGCAGGCATCACTCGAAACACCACGTGGGGAGCCCCAGCGACACTGTACAGCTCACCATGAGAAATCTTGCTTTGAGCGTATCTATCCCAAGATGATCAAGATGGTTTTATGATGTTTTATGTAAGGTTTGCATTTTCTTAAAAGATTATAGCCTATAACCCAGATTAACTGTTCATGAAGCATTCCTGATTGCTGTGTTGAAGTGTCGAAGGGTTCTTGGGTGGAAGTGAACCAGAGGAATGCTGGACGATGTCAATCACAGACTTGCAATGGACGTGCCAGATTCAGTTCACATAATATATATATTTAAGCGCTTACGCGCGACAGCTGGCCAGGGGCCCAACTATGTTGGCCCATTTTGTGGCTATGTTGGCCTATGTTGGCCTATGTTGGCCTATGTTGGCCTATGTTGGCCTATCTTGCGGGCAATGTGGGCCCAGCTTGAGGGTATGTTGGCCGATCTTGAGGCCTATGGCCCATTTTGACCCATCTTGAGCCACAAGATCCGAAACATGGGAAAAAATGGGAAGAGCACAAAACACTGTAAAACGCGGTATATTTTGATGGTCCCGAGAAGTCGGCGGCAGGGGGTGCAGCCCCTCGCTCCTACGGAGAGGAGAGAACTGCCGTACAGCAATGCCACGGCCAGCACCGGGCCCGGCGGGCCCCTGGCCGGAATTTAAGCGCTTACGCGCGACAGCCGGCCAGGGGCCCAACTATGTTGGCCCATCTTGTGGCTATGTTGGCCTATGTTGGCCTATGTTGGCCTATGTTGGCCTATGTTGGCCTATGTTGGCCTATCTTGCGGGCAATGTGGGCCCAGCTTGGGCTACGCCCCCTGCCGCCGACCCCAGGGCGATCAGATCTGTGCGTGATTAATGAGAACTCCAGCAGATGTGGGGATGAGGAATGAATCTAACGTTGGGGTAAGATGCTGAACTGCACACATAATCACACAATAGCCCGTATACAGGATACAATTATGTCAATGCTTCCACATCTGCCTCTTTCTCACCGAATTTCAGAACAGGCTTGTGTCTCAGAGGGGCTCAAGTGACGCGAAGTAGGAGAAAAAGGGTTTGCCGCAGCCACGGACTCGAAAAACTGAGGGTTCCAGGTTTATTTGCGCCGCTTTTCCTGGCGTCAATAACATTCAACAACCACACACCCAAAAAACCCTCCCAGAGGTCGGCAGGTGTCAACAGATAGTTGGGCGAGTTTATTTTTGCCATGGTTCTTCGAGTAGATTCACCTTACATTGTCATTCCGGTTTCAGACCCGTATTGGCAAGACAGGTGCATGTTTCTGGCTGCCCAGCTCGAGCTGGCTTTGCATCAGTGCATGCCACATTCTGGTTGGGATCAGGCCCTGCAGGAAGCTGATGTTCAACTACGATCAGCCAACTTAGACTGCAGGCTCGATGATGACACTATGAGTTGTGAATGCAAAGATAGAGAGCAACCTTTGTCAAAAGTTGAGCAGACTGTTTCCTCCAGTCCCTCGGAAGGATGCCAACTGCAAGGGAATGATTTTGACTTTGATTTGCTTGAGCATTCAATGCAAGTTTTTGCAAACTTATCCGATACTTTGGATTTGCAAGTTGATTGGAGTGCCTGGCCTTGGCTTGGTGACAGCCATAGCAACTGCAAACTATCAGGCGGCGAAAGGGTATTCGAAGGCACCAGCGCTCTCCGACAACGAGTGTGCCTGGTAGGCCTCAAGAGAAAGGATCTGAATGGCCAAGTGGTAAGGACACCCACCACCTCGCGGCCATGGTCTTCTGCTGGGTTGGGCCCGTTGGGCCCGTTGGGCCCGGCGACAATTTGGGGGCAGTCAGGCAGTCCTGCTGTATGAGGTTCTTGGAAGGGGATCTTGTAGGGATCCTGTCGAGATCCTCGAAGATTCCTGATTTTGTAGAAGTCCTTGCGAGGAGATCTTGTGGATATCCTAGTGAAATCCTTTGTTGTAGAGGTGTTTGTGAGGAGATCTTGCGCACATCCTGCTGGAATCCTCTAAAAGATATTTGCGCGAAGATCTAGAAGGTGCTTGTATGAAAGTTTGCAAGGGAAGCCTTCAAGAGGTTCTTGTACAAAGATCTTGTCAGATCCCCTCTACCAGGTCCTTCTTTGACGACTGTGTGAAATTCTCATTGAGGTCCTGGCTTGAGGTCCTGGAGTTTTTGTTCACAGATGTTTTCCTCAACGCTGTTAGGGCCTTTTTGCCAAGCTATGATTTCAAAAGTTTCACCTTGCGACGGCTTGGTGTGGGTCAAAGAACATGCGCCATTTGGCCCACTAGCACAACACATCATTTTTTTTTCATGGGGAGCAGGACGTCTAAAAATGTTTGACCCATACCATCCCATATTCATTTGAGCAGGGCTGGAAAGCTTTAGCTAATCCCTTTTCATGGGCTGACTTTTAGAAATGGATAATGATAATCCTCGATATCTAGGGTAATATAGGAATACTGCTCACTTGCTGGTTCCGGCAGCGCTGACGCGGATATGTGAGATAAAGCCGTCACAAAAGGATGAAGCGAAGCACGGGATTTTTTTTGTGGCCGCTGTCTAGGAAAGAATCGCAGAATCTGCAAACGGCACCGCTTGACAAATCATACCCCGAGTGGATCCGAAGGATTTTGTTTCACCGGTTGGTAGTCAGCAGCTGGTGCCGAACTAATCAACATCTGGTGGAATAATATCTGTAACCAAATGAAGAACAGAAAGCATGTGCATTAGTTTTATTTAGCCATGGATGACTGAAGCAGGAAAGCGACGAAAATTGGAAACATGATCCCAATGGCGTGCTGGGATCATACATTTTTTCATCTACAACCAGATGTAATTAGGTATAAGATATACATAAAGAACAATCACTCAATAAATAAATATTTATGTGTGTATATGCATTAGAAAGATACAAGATGCATACATTTATGTATATATATATATACATATGTTGAAATACGGCTAATGCCTGGGTTTAGCCTGGCAGGGCAGCGACGATGGGCAACGAAGCGTCATCATCATCATCATCATCATCATCATCCTTTGTTGATCTTTCCAGTCGAAAGCAAAAGCAAACGAGAGTGTTTTTTTTTTATATTCCTAATACCTGTGGTGATCTTCCCACTTGAATCTAAAAGTTCAAGCAGGGTGGGCAAGTATGTTTCTAAGGGAGCTTTTATTCCAAATACCTATCGGTGATCTTCCAAATTGAATGTAAAATTCACGGGCGGGGAACTTATATGCCAAATAATTACCCTTGTTGATTTGCCTGCTTGAATGTAAAGTTGAACAGAGATGCTGCTCCAGCCAAAATTGCTGTGGGGCAGGTGTGTGAACTCATGAGCTTGCCGAACCGTTCAATCGTTGACATCAAGTCATGTTGGGTATTGGAGGTTCATCCCTTGAAGGAGGTGAAAGCCAAGCGCAGTGTCTTGACTGTTTTCCTGGCGGACAGCTCGGGGGTGGTGACCTGTGGGCTGTCGTCGCCAGTGTGAGACGGCATCAGTCCAATCCTGGAGAAGGCCATAGATGAATGTCAGGGCAACACCTTCCCGCAGATTGAGTTGGTGCACGTGGAAATCATCACCATCGCAACCCGGCCGTTGATGCTGGCCAAGCTGCAATCGAACCGACAGACCACTTGCTGTGTCCTGGGGGCAAGTCCATGCAGTGCCAGGGATAGTGCAATGGTCGTGGAGAAGTTCGACGATCTGGGCGAAGCAGGCTTGAAGGCATGTCTCCGTGGCCGCCTACAGGATGTGAGCATCGTGGACGAAATCAGACAATCCAATCAGAACAGCCTTTCTGGTGGACCAGTGCGGGACGGCCCTTCCTATCGTGCTCTTTGGGGAGCACGCTGTGGATACGTGGGAGGAAGGGGCCCTGCTTTCCATTTTCCACGCATGCAGCCAAGAAGGGTTGACCAGTCCCGATTTCACGGAGCAAGCATCTGGCAATTGGTGGATTTATTCAGATGCATACGTGTTGACCATGACGTGCCCTGCCAAGACCGTGGGCATCAAGAAAGTGAAGCACATCGAGTGAGGCTGCAGCGGTGGTGGTCTCTCATGCCAAATTGCCGGCTGTTTCAAGGCCCTATAGGCAATGCTTTCGAGCCTATAGTGTTCTTTCAGCGAGTTTGTGCGGCCCGGTGTGGTGTTGATGTGGAAGTTGTTGTTTAGCATTTTCTTGTCGGCAAATCCAGAAAGTGGTGGGCAGGTAACAAGATGCAGGGTTGTTGTAATGCACTGGGTCAATAATAAAGGCGACGCTGTCATTTGAACGGCACTGGTCGCTGGGACAGAAGCGAGCTTCAAAGGAAGGCCTGGAGAGTGAAGCCTGTAAAGAAGGTGGCTTCAGTCTTCAGCCACGTGGAGCTTGGAAATGTTGGGCTGTAGTTCGGTTTGCCGGAGTTGCGAGACCGACATGAAGAAAGTGAAGAAAAAATATGGTTGGTAGAGTCTTTTAACTGAGGATCTTGGTTTCGCAACGCTGGAAAGCTGAAGTGTGCTGCAGAACTCGGCCCGAAGCTGCACGGCACTCGGGAGAAAAACATGCAATGGGTAGGCGGCAGCCGGTTTGTCCGGCAGTTACATCACACTGTCAAAACCTATGCCTGCTGGTAGATACAGAGGAACATTGAGATCTTTGCAATCCGGGAAAGTTGACCGTTTTGTGTTTACTGGGCAAGGTAGTGAACCGTGTAGTGTGCCGAATGCTTTGGCTTTTAGATGCCAACTAGCTTTATAAAAATCTTTCAGCCTCTAGCAGGGACAGATGATTTTAATTATTTTATCATTTTTTCATTTTCTCTATCATTTTTTCCATCAATATTATCATTGTATTTGTAGTCACCAAATGTACTTTCATTTCTTTTTCATCAAAATTATCATTGAATTTGTACTCACCAAATGGATATTCATTTGTTTCATTATTCCCCACCTGCCAGGTGAGGGTTGTTAGATTTTCTCACAGTTGTTCTCCTCCTCCTTCTCCTCCTTCTCCTCCTTCTCCTCCTCCTCCTTCTCCTCCTTCTCCTCCTTCTCCTCCTCCTCCTTCTCCTACGAAAAAATGAAAACTCCTTGTGTTTGATAATTCGCTAGCCAGCTGTAACTCACTGAACAATTCACCAGCTTCGGTAATCAAGAATCAATCGCTACTAAGTAACAAGAAATTAAATGACAATGACACGTAGCAGGTAGCAGCTAGCAGACAGGAGCAAGCTGCAACGAGCAGGGTGTCCCCAGCAAGAAATCACAGCCGGTCCAGCCTACCCCAGCCGGGCCCCAGCCCAGCCCAGCCCAGCCAATGATAAAAAGAATGCTAAAGCAGAAACACATGAAAAAAATGATAAAAAGAATGATAAAGCAGAAACAAATGAAAAAACAATGAAAAATGAAAGCAACTAAAAAAATGGAAAAACATGAAAAAAACAAAAAAACAAAAGTGAAAAAAACATGAAGAAAATGAAAAAAAATGATCCCGGCCCTACCACCCAGCCAGCCAGCCAGCCCACCATCCCGGCCCTCCCGGCCCTACCACCACCAGCCCCCCACCCTCCCCCACACCATCCCGGCCCTACCCAGCCCCCTCCCCCACCATCCCGGCCCAAACTTCTCTTCCACCTCCAGCCCTACAATGCCCAGCCCACTCAAGCTCAGATAAGACAAGATTAGACGTTAATAATGATATTCATTTTGTGGCACGGAGTAGCTACTGTGGAATGAGCAAAGGAATTAAATACACTTCAACACATTTGAATACACCACCTAAAAACATCATAAAACAAACAAAAGAAAACCAAAACTATGCAATCACTAGAAGTAGTAATGAAAAAAATGAAAACTCCAAAAAGAAGGAACAACATATGAAAAAAAGGTAAAGATCTATGAAAAAAATGAAAACCAAAATGAAAAATGATAAACTAACTAAATCATTGATTTCCAGAGTAAGGCTGGCAGAGATGATTATAAAACTAGCTTGCGCCTTTCGTGAGTGTGCTCACAGGTTCGAATGCGAGGAGAGGAGCCGCTGAGCGCAGCAAAACTGGAGGTGAGGGCATTGGTGCGACTGCGGAATAGAAGTTCTAGAGATTTCTTTGGACAGATTCCCAGCCAATGACGACCATCAAATTCCTATGAAAACACCGTAATCCACCAAAGTTAGTGGTACCAAAATGGATGCCATAGATCAGTTCTTTCCGGGACATATTTCCAGCCAAGGACGGCCATGAAATCTCTTTGAAATCATCATAATCGACAAAAGTTAGTGGTACCAAAACGGATGCCATAGATTAGTTTTTTTTTTTTTCCGGGACATATTCCAAGAATCGTAAGGCATACCCGTGCGTAAATCGCCTGCTTTGTACACTTGGATCATGTGATACGCAATGACAACCAGAAAATATCCGTTACACAGGATACATCATTGGCATCATGTTCCCATCATATCCATATTCCCATTATACTCTCATGATATCCTATACACTTGGATTCCCATGTATATACGATCAGGCACATATGCATGTATACTATACACACGTGATATGGTGGTTTCCGAAAATGGGGGTACCCCCAAATCAGGGATTGTCCCTTATAAACCATTCATTTTGGAAATTCCCCAGTGATGGAAAGCACCACGTATCAGCATCAGATTCCAGCAACATTTGCACGAAATCACTACGGGAAGCATTATTTGTCTTGGTCAACTCACCCTTTTACCATGGTTTTCGCGTGGTTTTCGCATGGTTTTCCTATGGCGGAGGTAAATACACCACTTGTTATCTTGTTCTTAAATGAGCAGGTGTCCAATCCACTCGATGAGAAGACGCAAATGAAGGCCGCTCCGCCTACAGGGTACAGCAACTCAGCCCAGAGTCCTGGGTTGGCCGAATAGATCAGATTTTAAAACTTATAAATAGATATAGAATGGTATATACACGGGCATGCACACTACTCTCTCTCTCTCTCTCTCTTTCTCCCTCTGTCTGTCTGTCTGTCTGTCTCTCTCTCTCTCTCTCTCTCTGTCGCGCTGTATGTCTTTTATTGACATACATATTAGACTTATCTAGTTTTTTTTCTTTGTGGCTTTCAGAAAATGGAGGAGGATATGGCCCAGCCACAAAATAAACCAGATTTTTGGCAGGGCATCTTCTTTTACACATAGCCGCGCCGTAAAAGGCATGATTTTTCTGAACAATTGTGCTTAGAGCATCTTGCCATGGGCAACGAAGCGCGAGATCGTCGGCGAGCGAGGGCCGCGGCGCTTCGAGCGCGGCGCTCATGCCGACGGGTGACCATGCTCATTGGTCAAGCAGTGACATCAGGACTGCAGTGGGGCAGAGCCAAGGAAAGTACCAGGCCCCCTGGAGAAAAAGAATATTCATCAGTTTCTTGTTGAAAAAGCCGGATAAGACCTTTGCTTCCATAGCTCGTTCAAAACGCTTTAGGGACCTTGCGAATTCTGTAGCCTCATTAAGGAGCTGGGCAGGCAGCCAGCCTCGGTAGTGAGGTTCCCACATATGAAACCTAAACCGTTTGCACCTAGCGAATCTCCTGGACGTGAGATCTTGCAGACTTCCTTCAGTAGGTTAGCGACGAGGCAGCCCTGTTGAGGAGGCGTCGAAGCGGCAAATCCAAACAAATCCTGAATAGCATAGTAGGTTCCACTTTTGGGTAGACATGGGTTAACCGATGAGTGTTTGATTTTAATAGCTTCCTTAT